TTTAAAAACAATAAAATGTTAAAGCATGTATATTTCTAAAATCTGCCTTCAGTAGAAGGAATGACTGATTGATCATTTTTGTGGATAGAAAATATATCTATCATGTGTTCCCTGAAATTCAGCTTCGGCCATGCTGGTTTAATAGAAGTATAGTACCTGGATTTTGGTCAACAAATCATCTGGCTACCAATGGATCCAAGAAAAGAGATGATTCTCAAACTATGTTCCAAATATTCCTAGAAGTTTCACAAAGGCATAGCAGGAGCTACTAGCAGCAAGAAGCTGAATAGGCAAGATCCAAGTCCTTTCTCCACACACACACACAATAATTCAGTCAGAGCATCTCAGTTTTTGAATTATTTAGTACATTTCTCCAAAGCATACCAAGTACTTGCCTTGTATTTACTGGTTCTATGAAAGAAATGCAAAAACAGAATAATCTGCTAAACAGATATACAAATACACCCCACTCCTGGGAAAGAAATAAAATATCAACTCCACAAAATCCCACACGTTCATTTTGTCAGGACTGGCTCTGAGTATACTTCTCAAATACAAGAACAAGCTGAAGCTGTCAAGGCCAAATAACATTCTGCAAAGCAAATATTTAAGTCCTTTGAGCCCGTTTCCTTATTTGAAAAGAAGAACAATACCATCTACTTCTTAAGTTTTAGAAATACTGAGCCATGCATGCGTTAAGCACTGGGACTGGCAAACGGTAGGTGCTCACTAGATGGCAGCCTCTGTTATTTCATTTTAACTAGACTTTGGCCAAAAGTGACAAGTTCAAAATTATGACCATTACTGAAAATTTTAATTGTTTAGTTACAGACTGAAACAGGACTTAAGGGTCAAGACACCAAGATTCCTAACCTATCCCCCCAACACTCCTGCGTTGCCCCCACAACTCTCACCACTGAATCTAAGAGATGAGGATGTAAGCAGTCAGATGAGCTGGTGGGTTGTTAGGCTAGTTGGAAGACAGGCCCCTTACCTGCACTTAGTTTTACCAAAGCTAGACAGGATTGTAATCCCTGCCTTCTGATTAGCTGTTATTCTGCTCCTCCCCTGATTGGTTAAATCTAGCTTTGATTTTCAGAAAGGGCCAATCAGAGAGAGCCACTTCATGTTTATAAGGGGCAGACACTGAATGCTGCAGGTTTCTTGCTGTCAGTAAATCTTGCTTTGCTCACTGTCCCTGTCGATGTGGAAATTCTCCTTGTATGTGAGACAAGAAGTGACACTGCCCTCATCCTCATTCTGCTGCAACAAATGCTCCAATTGGATTCTTCTGCCCTTTCAACAATGCCCTTTCAGCTCCACAAACTACCAGTCTTTATGCCAAGTCTGTATATACTCACTTCCTTTAAAAAAAAAAAAAAGAAACACTTTTATTTTACCCCCTTATAGTTGTAACTATTCCTCAATCTTAGTTTAAAAGTCACTCCCTCTGGGAAAACCTCTTTGACCAACCCCTACCATAAATAACAATTTGATTTGGTCATTGAGTTTCCCTTGCAGAAACAGATGGCAAAATGGCTTAGCTATGTTAGACTGCATGTGTATTTTTTTTTTTTTTTACAAAGAATTTCCCTGATTTGCTTTGGCATGAGAGAAGGTGTTATCATTTGTCTCCTCCAAAACTCATGTTGAGGCTTGGTCCCCAAAGTAACAGTGTCAATAGGTGCTGGGGCCTCTAAGAGGGGTCAATGTGTTTCTCACAGAGTGAGGTCTTGCTCTGGAGGGACTGTACGGGTTACTTCGAATGTAGACTGTTACAAAGTGAGCCTGGCACTTTCTTCTTGTTCTCTCTGAAACAGGTGCTCTTCCACAGATAAGCCCTCACCATTCTCCCATGTGCTCCCATCACAAGATGCCAACCACCAAGCATCCTTACCAGAAAGAGATGTGAGTGCCATGCTCCTGGACCTACAGAACTGTGAGCTAAATACATTTCTTTTCTTTATAAAGTACATAGCCCCTGACATTTTTTTTAAAAGATTTATTTTATTTACTTGAGAGGTAGAGTTACAGACAGAGGGAGAGACAGAGAGAAAGGTCTTCCATCCACTGGTTCACTCCCCAAATGGCCGCAACAGCTGGAGCTGCGCTGATCTGAAGCCAAAAGTCAGATGCTTCTTCCCAGTCTCTCATGCTGGTGGAGGGGCCCAAGGACTTGGGCCATCTTCTACTGCTTTCCCAGGCCACAGCAGAGAGTTGGATCAGAAGAGGAGCAGCCAGACTAGAACCAACACCCATATGGGATGCTGGTGCCACAGGTAGAGGATTAACCTGCGCCACAGCTCCAGTCCCCTCTGGCATTTTTTAATAGCAAACGAAATGGACCAAGACAATAGGTGCTCTGTTTAAAATATGTTCCAAGGGGCCAGAGCTGTGGTAGCAGGTAAAGCCGCTGCCTGCAGTGCTGGCATCCCACATGGGCACTGGTTTGAGTCCTAGCTACTGTACTTCTGATCCAGCTCTCTGGGATGGCCTAGGAAAGCCATGGATCCCCATGGGAAACCTGAAGAAGTTCCAAGTTCCTGCCTTTGGATCAGCACAGCTCTGGCTATTGCAGCCATCTGGGGAGTGAACCAGCAGATGGAAGACCTCCCTCTTTCTCTCTCTCTCTCTCTCTCTCTCTCTGCCACTGCCTTGCAAATAAATAAATCTTTAAAAAATAAAAAAGTTCCAAATTGTTTGAATTATATGTAAACAAAAGTTCCAGTTGCCCTAAAAGTTTCCATTTTCTACTCATGTAGAAATTTTTATAGGACAAATTAAACTTCGCAAACTAAAAAACAGTACCACCATTAAAGTCCATGGTTTGGTAACCAAGTTAGATATTTAATGGAAACAAATTATAATCTCTAAAACAAAAATGTGGAATCAAGTAAAAGAAGTCTATATAAGCTTTTACAAAGTAAGTGCTTTGTAAGACATTTTCTTCAACACAATTCTGGGAAGCCTCTTGGAATAGATGAACTAAATAAATAGTTTAAACCTCTTCTAATGAGATCAAACTGCAATCAGGCCAGCTATGATATTAATATACAAGGATACTTCAAAAAGTACATGGAAAATCTGTATTATGAAAAAACTATCCATGTGTTTCAAAAGTTCTTAGCACCAAAATTACCTTTTAACTACATTTTAATATTACTTTTTGAAGTATCTTTATATTGCTTTCTACCTTTATTTCATACAGTCTTCAACAAGAATGCCACATTTAATCCAAAATTATTTTAAATCATGAGATGAATATATACTACTGGAGGCATTCCTGACAGCTATGACTTGAGTGTGTTCCCTGAAATTCATGTTTTAGAAACTTAATCCCCAAAGCAATGCTGTTGACAGTGGGGATTGTTAAGTGATGTTTAGGTCAGCCGTACTGCCTTCATGAATTGATTAATGTTATTATCATGGAAGCAGACCTCTTATTAAAACAAGTTAGGTAGTGTTTTTGCTCTTGCGCTGCCTTGCTCACCTTCTTCCATGAGATGACACAGCAGAAAACCTTCACCACATGATCACACCTTGACATTGGGCTTCCCAACCTCCCAAACTGTGAGAAATGAATTTCTTTTCAAGTTGATGGTACTTTGCTATACAAAGCAGACTAAGACACTGATCTTTACTGAGAATCTTCTGGCATTTTCTCTAATCAGTATGCTGACCACAATGTCAATCTATGGTGGAAGATATCAATACAACCTCTGCAAGTCAAATCAAGTTGGTGTCAGTCCCTTTTATTTTATTTTATTTTATTTTATTTTATTTTATTTTATTTTATTTTTTGACAGGCAGAGTGGACAGTGAGAGAGAGAGACAGAGAGAAAGGTCTTCCTTTGCCGTTGGTTCACCCTCCAATGGCCACCGCGGCCGGCGTGCTGCGGCCGGTGCACCACGCTGATCCGATGGCAGGAGCCAGGTACTTATCCTGGTCTCCCATGGGGTGCAGGGCCCAAGCACTTGGGCCATCCTCCACTGCACTCCCGGGCCACAGCAGAGAGCTGGCCTGGAAGAGGGGCCACCGGGACAGAATCCGGCGCCCCGACTGAGACTAGAACCTGGTGTGCCGGCGCCACAAGGCAGAGGATTAGCCTAGTGAGCCGTGGCGCCGGCGGTGTCAGTTCTGATCTAGAGTTTGAGCCCTCCTGACTCATAACCTAGTTCAATGAAAGGAAGGAACTCAAGTGCTTATGAAGTAAAGAAAATAAAACCTACAACGGTATTAAGACTACCATACAGGGAATAAGTGATTTGAAACAAAGACAGATGGTTGGGGCCATTGCTGTGGTATAGCAGATTAAGTGTCTGTGATACCAGAATCCCATACAGATGCATCCCAGCTACTCCACTTCCAATCCAACTCCCTGCTAATGGCTTGGGAAAGCAGCTGAAGTAGGCCCAAGTCCTTGGGCAACTACATCCACGTGGGACACCCAGAAAAGGCTTCTAGATTCTGGCTTCAGATTGCGACCATTTGGAGAGTGAATCAGCAAATCAAAGACCTCTCTTTACCTATCTCCCTGCCCTCCCTCCATAACTCTGCCTCTCAAATAAATATATAAATCTTAAAAAAAAACTAAAAGGTAACAGATGATCAAATGCCCAATGTTAAAGGAGAGGGATCAATGCTCTCATCAAAAAAGAAAAAAGAAAAAAATCACTTTCTATTAGAATATCAGAAAATACTACTACTACTAATAATAATAGTAATAATAATGAAGATGAAAATAATACTTACCCCTCCATATATGTGGGGTTTACTTCTGTGGATTCAACCAATCTCATATTAAAAATATTAAAAAAGAAATTATATTCATACAGAACATGCCCTGTTTTTAATCATTATTCCCTAAATAATATAGCATAACTACTATTTACATAGCATTATTATCAGTTTATATTAGCTAGTAAAAATAATTTAGAGATGATTAAAATAACTTAATGTGTAAGAGAAGATGTGTACAGGCTAACTGCAAATCCCACACCATTTTCATCAAAGGACTTCAGTATCTGCAGATGTTGGTATCTTTGGGATTTTAGAATAAATGCCCCACGAACACTGAAGGATGACTGTGACAGTAGAAAAATAGATAAATAAATTTATTAAAGGTTTATTATAATCATTTACTATATAAATTAATTAATTAATACATCATTTGGCTTTTTAGCTATATATGACCTATTTATTATTAGCCCTACTTTACAGATAAGGAAATTAAGCCTGAAAAAAGTTAATAATTCTCCCACAGTCATCAAACTAGACAGAGCTTGAGTCAGGACTTTCACTCATGCTTTTCAACTATAAAGTATATTCTCTTCATCTCACCCAAATATATTTTCTTGAAAAAGTAGCACTCAAAATTCCTAAAAAGGGAAGCCCATAAACCATGGAAGAAGAGAGGTATGACAGTCAATAGTATCTAGTGTCAAAGAAAAATCCAGGAAGAGTCTAAAAGAATATTGTTGGATTTGGCTTCTCCAAAGTTATATGGCTTGTCAGTATTTATTGGACAGTATCTATTTTTATTAGGAATAGGAATTAGTCCAACAAAAGGGGAAGATATGGTAGATAAATGTCTCTTCAGGAAAACTACAATGGAGGAATACCTAAAAAAATAAGTCAACCATAAAGAAAAGAAACAGAAACATCAGGGGGTAGACACATGTTAAGGTATCATAAATTAGCCATCTGACTGCACTTCCCCTAAGAGGTTCCTGTGCAACATTTTTCATATCCCTAACTTCCTAGGTTGCCTCCCACCAGTCAATACAGATTGTCTCATTTCCTCTGAACTCTTCCATGTTTTTCTCTTCCAGAGATACCCTAATCCACTTCATCTATTTAAAAGGGATTCAAAAGATGGCTCCCTATAATCAGGTACCATGTTATATTTCCTTTGAAATTCCACATTTAACTTAGTACTTGACATGTTTCTAATAAAATATGAGATACAGAACTGATCACAGTGATCTAACTCCAGATGAGAAAATATTTTTAAACATCACTATACATAAAAATCAAATAATACTACTGAACTATTCAAATGTCAGAGCTCTTATTTTTACAAATATTCCCTCAGTAGAAATGGTCAACTAAAGGACCTTTATATTGAATAGCACAGAAAGATTTATTTCATTTACAAATTGTCATGGTCCTTTGAAACATTTTATGTTTTTATATTGGATACTAAAAGTTAGCAGTTCTCCTAAAAATAAATATTCTCTTTAAGAGCTAAAATCATTGTTTTTATTTTTAAAGACATTCAACTGGAATTCACTTTATAATGTAACTTTATCTTTTCAAATGTCTGCCATAATCTTGATTATGAGAATACTGTCCTCTCCGGGAATCAAGCCAATGAGAATCAAGTCCCAAATAAGAGCAAACCAGAGAAAAAATGTCTTTGTTTCAGTTGATTATATGAGATAATGGTCTCAAATGAAAAGAATTCTATTCATGCCAATCAAAGCCATGGTTTGCAGAAAGCAAATCTCTTGACCCTGAAGAGAAAGAAAAGATAAAGACAAGAATGATGGAGTGCACTACGTTAGGCTTAGCTCTCCAAACTAGCAAACCAACCCATTTAAGATACCATTGCTCACACTTTGACCCAATAGAATATTCTGTTTTGGATTTAACATACTCTAGACAATTTGTAAAAAATCATTATTGATTACCTTCACCAAAATAACTTTCCCATCATTATACTTCAGATTATTTATTGTGGTTTCTCTTTGGTTGTGATGCTCTATTAGCAGGAGTATGGCAAACATGGGACAGCAGAAATGGCCCAGTATTGAAGTTGTGGCCTAAAGAATGTGAGGATCCGAGGAGTACTCATATTAAACTTGAAGTCCTAGAATCAGTTTCCCAAAGATGAAGGCATGATCATTTTATACACTACCACAATACGTAGAAATATTAGAGAGGATTCATTTACAAGTCACTCTCCTTGAAATTTACCCTCTGATACAACCTAATTGACAACTCCGGTTGGATCCATTCCCCAAAGAAGTGTGATTTATCTATTGATCAGAGATAAATTTGAAAGATATATCATTGTTCACACAGAAATGCTAACTATGTGATAGACTGATACCAACTGAAAAGAAACAATATAACCATATAGCTATTCTACTCAGCTCAAATTATGAAGGGTCCCCGACTGTTTAGGTGATTGATATAAAATCAAACGTTCTTTCCTGATTATAATCTTGAAATAAGTGTTTATCACCAAAAAAATGTTTCAAATGTCCCAGTTAAAAACTCAAAGACACTAGAAACAAGCCAAATACCTGCAGAAGGTAGATTACAGTCTTCTATAATGAAAGAATTACAACAGAATTGAACTCTGCTTTGTAAATATGTTTCTTTGACCTCAAGGGAAGTCCCTGATCCCCAGGGCTCCACTGTCCCTGAGATGTAATGTTTAGAAGAATCAAAACAGAGACAACACACTCATTTTGGTAGAAAAAGATTTATACCCTTCTCAAATACCAACAACTGCTGAGGTTGGGTCAGGCTAAAGCCAGGAGCCTGGACCTCAATCCAAAGTTTCCCACATGGATGGCAAGGACGTAACTATTTGAGACAGCACCTGCTGCCTCCCAGGGTATGTGTTAGCAGACATCTGGAATAGGAAGCGGTGTTGGGACTGGAATCCAGGCATGCTGATATGGGATATAAAATCCCAAGCATTATCGTAACAGCTGTGTAAAACACTCATCAGAATTCAATAATCTACATGAAACTCTCAATTGCTCAAGAAAGGGAAAGGGGGTACTCTATTTACTCTATTTCTAGTCATATTCTATGGAAATTCACCAGTCCAAATTTCTTTTTACAAAAAAGACAGAATAAATGATACCAAATTTTCTGGTTCTTCTCAAAATATTGAACAGGAATACTTTTATGGATTTCATTGAATTGGCCAATAATATATTTAAAAGCTAACACTATGACATTTTTATAATTAAATTTTATATAAAGTAGGAAATTTGATATGGTATTATAAAACAAGACTTGATTATTCTTTGCTCACAATTCTCCATTCATGAACCATATTCCTGAAAGAAAGGTGGAAATTTGATATTTGAGATCATATAAAATAAGTGATTACCATATAAATTATTTTAAAATCAACAGTTCATTTGATGTAAAATTAGAACTTTCAAGGCTTTTATGAAAAAGAAATGCATAATAACAGAAACTTAATTTCTTTTGGTTTTTCAACATTCCAATAGATATAATTTCATGTTTCTTAAAAAGAAATTAACTGCTCAGTTTTCTCTTTAAGCCAAAATGAAATGGCCAAAGTAAGGTTACAAGGAAACACCGAATCAATAGAAGTAACCATCTTTGACATCAATACCATGATTGAATACCCATCATGAGTACGTAACAAAAGCTAGATGCCTTTAAAGGCATCTGCTACAGTTTGTAGATAACATCAGCACATTAACAATTCGAGCATTATAGGCATATCAGAGCAATAAGAAATCACTATAGCACAAATCTTATCAGTTATGGGCAATTTATATCCACAGGACACCATAAGAATGCACTAGAGTGGTTCAAACTATACAGTTCTAGTAGAAACAAAATAAAATAAAATAAAATGACAACAGAGAAAAAAAATCCTTCCAAAAAGCCTGGAAGGAGAACCTAACATGTGTCTCTAGGCAAATATCACACTAACCAACTATGTGATATAAAACACTGTGTTCACAAAAAGAAAATGAAAATTCTCACCTTCTTTGTTTGGTGTAAAGGAATGTAGGGTATCACCTGCCTTGAATGTCCCAGTGGAAACGGCTAATTTGAGGAACTGAAAAATATGGCTCTTGTGGAGGCTGGGGGGAGCCATATGTTTTCCAAATTGTGCTCCAAATGTACTTGAGATTATTTTTCATAAGGACAAGAATGAAGTGTGTGTATGTGTGTGTGTGTGTGTGTGTAATCTATTGATGGTTGCTGGACTAATTTTATGCTGCTGAGAAACATTTTTTGTTTTTAATATAGATATTTAATATAAAAAGTGATTTCACTTAAGAAACAATTCAGATTATTTCCATGTAGGAAGTGACTGGCCTTCTCTAACTCTTAAAAGTTTGGAAGTGTATTCTTTGTTTTAATTTCTACACTAAAGAAGACCAAGCATAGGTCATATCATATGAAAAAGAGAAAGCTAAATGTACTATTGTAATATCCAACTTGCTTGCCTACATAGCAGCCAAGTACTGACTCACAAAGCATGAAGTTGGGAAACTTCTATAAAAACATGACCAGGGCAGGCATTTAGCCTGGTGGTTAACATGTCCAAGTACTACATCAGAATGCCCCAGTTAGACTACCAGCTCAGGCTCCTGCCTCCAGTTTCCTACTAGTACAGACCCTGGAAAGTGGCAGTGATGATTCTAAGAACTGAGGTCTTGCCATCTACATGAGAGACCTGCATTGTGCTCCTGGCTCATAGCTTCAGCCCCAGCTCGGTCCTAGCCATCATACACATCAAGGGGATGATCCAGAAAGTAAGAGCTTGGTCTCTTTCTGTCTATGTCTCTCTCTGCCTCTCAATTTTTTAAAAATTTTAAAAATATGACCAGCTGAGAATGAAGAAACAAAATTATCGAACAGAGGGTTCCTAATTAAAAAGTCCAGTCAGATGACACCATTCTGAAGCCAACAAGACCAACTCATGTATTACAAGCTAAGTTCTTTTTAAAAGATGTATGTATTTATTTGAAACAGAGTTACAGAGAGAGAGAGACACAGAGTGTGATATCCCATCTGCTGGTTCACTCTCAAAGTGGCTACAATGGCTGGGACTTGGCCAAGACAAAATCATGAGCCCAAAATTCCACCTAGCATTCCCTCATGGGTAGCAGGGGCCCAAGAATTTGGGCCATCTTCTGCTGCCTCCCCAGGTGCACCAGCATCTGGCTAGATGGTAAGTGGAGCAGCCAGGACTTGAACTGCTGCCCATATGGGATGCCAGTGTCACAGGCCATGGCTTAACCCACTGCGCCACAATGCCAGTCCCCCAAATCAACCTCTAATACTCACATTTTGAAATACAGAATAATAGTTTTAACACAAAGAAGAAAGAAGAGAACCTTGAAAGAAACAGACTATGTAAAGAAAACAAATATTCCACAATTTTTTTAATTAACATCTTCAGAGAGCCATGAAATAATACATATTATAAACTAGAACACTGGGGTCGGCATTGTGGTATAATAGCTAAAGCTGCCACCTGCCACACCAGCATCCCATATGGATGTCAGTTCAATTCTTGACTGTCCCACTTCCAATCTGACTCCCTACTTATGCACCTGGGAAAGCAACAGAAATTGGCCCAAGTGCTTGGGTCCCTGCACCCACGTGGGAGACCCAGATGAAGCTCGTGACCCCTGATTCCTGAATTTGGCCCAGCCCAGTCCCAGCTATTGTGGCCATTTGAGGAGTGAACCAGTGGATGGAAGATCTCTCTCTCTCTCTCTCTCTCTCTCTCTCTCTCTCTCTCTTTCAAATAAATAAATAAACCTTTTAGAAAAGGGAACATCCTGGGAATTTCTCAGTTTTGAGAATACAAAACACAATAGCATAAATTAAGAATAATAATGGTCTGGAAGATGAAAATGAAAGCTGAACCAAACAAACAGAGGAGAGGTGATCATAAATACAAAAACTGAGAAAGTTTTCCAGAACTAAGGAAACAAGAATTCTCAGAGTAAAAAGGGCCTTCAAAGTTCCAACACCACGTATGAAAATAAGCCACGCCAAGGCACAGAGTACTGAAGTGTCAAGGAACTTGGATTTAAAACATAACAAATATACAGGTTACATATAAAGAATTAGAAATCAAAATTCTATTTGATTTGTCCACAGCAATCCTGAAAGCTAGAAGAAATATAACCATTTAGGCCAAGGAAGATGAGTTTTACATGAAAGTAAGGCAAGCCTAGCTTACCAGATGGCTACATTTGAATTGCATTTATGTATCATGGCAGTATAAGCACTAAATATCAATCCTATATCAGTACATGTGAAACTTTTTTTATACATTAAAGATGTCATATAGGGGCCAACATTATGGCACAGCAAGTTAAGCCACTGTGCAGAATGTTGGCATTCCATATAGCTGGTTAGAGTCCTGGCTGCTCTACTTCCAATCTAGCACCCTGCTACCGCATCTCTGAAAGGAGAAGAAGATGGCCCAACAGCTTGGGACCCTGCCACCCATTTAGAAGACCAGGAGGGAATTTCAGCCTCCCAGCTTCAGTCTGGCCCAGTCCTAGCTACTGCAGCCATTTCAGAAGTGAACAAACAGATGGAAGATCTCTCCCCCCGCCCTTTTCTCTCTCCCTCTTGCTATTTGTAACTTCATTTTTCAAATAAATATTTTTGAAAAAAATATATTTCAAGCACAAATATTAAAACGAGGTGATGGGAAGGGTAAATGTATATGTGGGATTAAAAGAGAAGCACACCCAAGACCATATAGCTTCACTGCTGAATCCCATCAGGCATTTAAAGAACTCCAATTTTTCTCAAGCTATTCAAAACAACTGAAAGGGAGGGAATCCTCCCAAACGCCTCCTGTGATGCCAGCATCACCTTAATTCCTAAACCTGAAAATGATACAACGGAGAAAGAGAACTACAGACCAATTTACCTGGTGAACACAGATGCAAAAATCCTCAACAAAATACTAGTCAATCAATTCCAGCAACACATCAGATTCCACCAACCCATCAGAAAGATCATTCACCCGGACCAAGTGAGATTTATCCCTGGTATACAGGGATGGTACAACATTCGCAAATCAATCAATGTGATACATCACATTAACAAAATGAAGAACAGAAACCATATGATTATCTTTATAGATGCAGAAATGCACTTGATAAAATACAATATCCTTTCATGATGAAAACCGTAAGAAAACTGGGTATAGAAGGAACATTCCTCAACACAATCAAGGCAATTTATGACAAACCAACAGCCACTGCCTTATTGAAAGGAAAAAGTTGGAAGCATTTCCACCAAGATCCAGAACCAGACAAGGATGCCCACTCTCAACACTGCTTTTCAATATAGTCCTGAAAGTTTTAGCCAGAGCCATTAGGCAAGACAAAGAAATCAAAGGGATACAAACTGGGAAGGAGGAAGTCAAAATATTCCTATTCGCAGATGATTTGATTTTATATATATATCAGATCCAAAAGAATCCTCTAAGAGGCTATTGGAATCATAAAAGAGTTTGGTAAAGTGGCAGGATATAAAATCAATACATAGAAATCAATAGCCTCTATATTCACAGAAAATGCCATGGCTGAGAAAGAACTTCTAAAATCAATTCCATTCACAGTAGCTGCACAAAAACTTAAATACCTTGAAACAAATTTAACCAATGACACCAAAGATCTCAACAATGAGAATTACAAAACATTAAAGAAAGAAAGATAAGAAGACACAAAAAATGAAAAAAAAAATCTTCCACATTCATGGATTGGAAGAATCAATATCATCAAAATGTCCATACAACCAAAAGTGACTTACAGATTCAATGCTATACCAATAACAATATGAAGGACATTCCTCTCAGATATAGAAAAAAATGATGCTGAAATTCATATGGAAACACAAGAGACCCCAAATAGCTAAAGCAAACTTATACAACAAAAACAAAGCCAGGGGCATCACAATACCAGATTTCAAGACATACTACAGGGCAATTATAATCAAAACAGCCTGGAACTGGCACAAAAACAGATGAATAGAACAATGGAACAAAACAGAAACTCCAGAAATCAACCCACGCATCTACAACCAACTTATTATCTTTAACAAAGGAGTTAAAATGAATCCTTAGAGCAAGCACAGTCTTTTCAAGAAATGGTGCTGGGAAAACTGGATGTCCACATGCAGAACTATGAAGTAAGACCCCTACCTTACACCTTACACAAAAATTCACTCAAAATGGATCAAAGACCTAAATCTATGATCCAATACCATTAAATTTCTAGAAAACATTAGGGAAACCCTGAAAGACATTGAGATAGGCAGAGTTCTTGGAAAAGCCCCAGAGGCACAGTCAATCAAAGCCAAAATTGACAAATGGGATGACATCAAATTGAGAAGCTTCCACATGGTAGAAAAAAAAGACTCAGCAAAAAGACAACCAACAGAGTGGGAGAAAATATTTGCACACTATGGAACTGATAAAGGACTAATAACAGAAATATATAAAGAGCTCAAGAAACTCAACAACAACAACACAAACAATCCAGTGAAGAAATTGGCAAAGAACTTGGACATTTTTCCAAAGAGGAAATCCAAATGGCTAATAGACACATGAAAAACTGCTCAGGATCACTAGCTATCAGGGAAATGCAAATCAAAACCACAATGAGGTTTCACCTCACCCCCATTAGAATGGATTGCATACAGAAATCAGCAACCAACAAATGTTGACAAGGATGTGAGGAAAAACGTTCCTAATCCACTTTTGGTGGGAATGTAAACTGGTACAGCCACTGTGGAAGACAGTATGAAGATACCTCAGAAAGATAGACATACCATAGGACCCAGCCATCCCACTCTTGGGAATTTACCCAAGGGAAATGAAATCAGCATACAAAATGTTATCTGCATCCCTATGTTTATTGCAGCTCAACTCAAAATAACTAAGATATGGAATCAAACCAAAAGTCCATCAACTGAAGACTAGATAAAGAAATTATGGGATATGCACACCATGGAACACTATATAGCAGTAAAAAAAATTTTTTAAATCCTATCATTTGCAGCAAATGGATGCAACTAGAAAATATACTTAGTGAAATAAGCCATAGTATTTGTCCTCTCCGATCTGTGCTAATAGAGCACCTAAAAGGTAATCTATAGAAGTAAAATTTTGTGATGTGATGACTTGGAACAGCCCTTGTCTCGAATATTGAAGAACATTTTGGGGGTGAACCAACAGAAGGAAGACCTTTCTCTCTGTTTCTCTCTCTCACACTGTCTAATTCTGCCTGTCAAAAAAAAAAAAAAAAAAAAAAAAAACCAAGAACTGACAAATCTTGCTGATTTATTTGACTCTTTGTACACTTTTGTATGTATTATAAAGGACCTGTAGTAAATATGGAATGATATGCAAATTTAATAGAAATACAACTGTTTTTAAAAATAGAAGAGAGGGTAGAAAGGAGGGATACAGGGAGGAAGAAAAGAAAGTCATGGACAGAGAATAAGATGTGTACCACAACCTTTTGAAGTCTCCAGAGGTGCTTTCTGGAGATAGGATCACTATCTCTACTACACTTTTATACATAGGCATTTTCAAGGCAATTCTTCCACACAGAGGAAAACCAAACCAGAGTGAATTTAACTTTTCAACATTTCTGTAATATTCACAGACTGTCATATTTTTAAAAGTGGGCACATACAACAATAACCAAATCATCCTTTACTTTATTTAGGATGATATGAAATCATGGAATTGGTGATGATATCAATAATACCAGAGACTTTTAAAACAGTGTTATTTTGTGAATCAAAATCATATGTGGTTCAACCTTAACAAACTTGGAGCATGAAGGAGGGGAAATTGTGTGTGTACGTATGGCAGAGACCAGATGTGAGTGTGCTAAGATTTAAGAAAAAAAAATTAACTTCAGGAGTCTTTATTAACTCAAAAAGTCAGACTTCCCTGGGATTTTAGCACTCTGCTGACCCAAACCAATTCTTATATACTGATTACTGCCTGAATCATTCCAACTATCACTTATGAAAAGATATTCCTCTTCCTAAAGACTTATTTACAATTGAATACAGACTGTCCTAGATACTGAGAAAATATAGGCAAACCTTGAGTCTCAAGAGAATGCTACTTGACATACAATCTTTCTCACTCATGTTCTTATGACAGTCCAATGTATTCACAATCCACACACACAACCACTAACTTGCATGAACAGCATTATTTTGTCAGTATCTGTTCAAAACAAACCAACTGCCCTGAGTATGAATAAGACCTGTAGTAAGCATCTGATGATGAATTCATTCCCAACTTTCTGAATGGAATGACTCAGATCTCCAGACCTTTCAGATAACTTTATTTGCATTAAATAGTATTTATCAGCAACTTAAAGTGAAGGTATTTTCTTAAACACCACAAAGGCAAAATTCCTACTCAAAAAATACATGCATCCTTTCCTTTTCTGAGTACTAATTGTGACCAGTATTATTATGAAAGTATTGATGTTAACAGTTCAATGTGAAAGGAGCAGAACGTTGTGATTGCTAGGGTGGGAAGAGGGAAAGAAAAGAGAAACAGAAAACCTTCTAGAGTGGTCAAGTCAGAAAAAATAACTCTCCTATACTAAAGAGGATCTTTCAGAATGGAGATAGTTTGAGTATTCACCTATAACCTAACACAAAGAATCTGGCACACCCAGAAAATTCTCAACTAACTAAGAATTGAACTATGCCAACCTTAGCACACCATGAGACAAGAAAGTCCACATAATCTTTGTATACAGCTGTGCTAGACAATCACACAATGAAAGTAACAGCTTCTTCACTAAGAACAGCAGCTCCTTACCTGCTGTTGTACTGGTACCTGCTGCACCACCTGCGTAGGCACTGCTGCTTGACTAGCCACAGAGGTTTGTAAAGTCACTGTCGAACCTGTGTCCGACCCGGTCTCTGATGTCTGCATGATGGTCTCTGAAACAGATTAACACAAAAATAAAGTTCAGAATGTTTCCCTTGTGTGATCACCTTCGCTACATTTGTTTTAATATTCTATACTTTCAATCCTTGTAATACCTCTTATTCCAAAACACTGCCCATGAATGATTATACAGTCACTTTGACCACTTTTTAAATAGAGAAAATTACTAATCTACATTTTTTAAGTATCCATTTGCACTTCTTATTCTGAGACCACAAAGGTTAGATCTAATTGAAAGCTTCCATCCTTAGTTCTTACCTGTTATAAATGGTCTTGATCTCTTTATAGACTATGGTCCAAAATTCTATCAAGAAGTTCTTAATTCTTAGAACACAAAACCTATGTGGATGCAAATATGTCATGAACTCCAATTTCTAGAAATTTTTATAGACTAGAAGGATGTTATTGGAGGACCACATTTTAGAATAAATCATTTATAAGATTTTTTTTCCAGCATACTACTCAGTGATCTAAAATAAATATTAATGTATGTCCTAAACATAACTGAAGGATCAAATTTAATAATTTTCTCCACTTGTGGCAGAATACAGTATGAAAAAAATTCAATTATATTCTCACACAATGATAGCCAATTATCAATAGTGCTTAACATTTTTGAAAGATGAGGATGACTACTCAGTATCACATCACATGCATGAGATTTGTAAACAAAAACATGACATTTGACTATTTCTTGCTCACAATTCAACATGCCATAGTTTTCACTTCATTTCTTATGTAACAGGGTTACATTTTTGCTGCATTTTCTCTAACAAGCATCCCTTTTCAGGCTTCCTGGCCTTGACACCTCCTTTTGCTATTTATACTTTCAATAAAATAAATATGCGTCTCTCTGCCAATGAGTGGAGACCAGAAATCTAATTTTCTTTCCTGGAGTAAAAGCAAGTTTTATCTCAGGTAGTCTAGGAAAAATACTGCACCAAGGTTTAAAGCTGTAAAGAATAATCATGAACATTAATTTTCTCTTAGGAAATATGTTTTTTCAAAGAGAAAATTAACCTCTCTCAGCATCTTCTGTCACAGCAATACCTCTTCTGGTGTTTCTTTACCCAAACTTGACATCATCACATTCAGGTTTAGAAACAGAGCTCTGAAAACATCAGATCTAGTCTTATTTTATTTGAGGAATCTAAGCCCAGAGAGGTTAAGAAACTGAAGTTGAACAGGAGTGGGCTCAGGACTGAGCTTGTTTCACTTTAAACCTGTGCTTCATTTTTTTGGTAGACTTTTAGACTGGAATCTCTTTAGGTGACTGAATGTTATTTTGTGAAACCTTTCCACAGTATAATACACTTTAGTAGGTAAGGTGTAGCAGTAACAGATAGCTTTGATTATTTCACATATGCTCAGGACTCTTCTACATGCTTTACATGTTAATTCATACATAAATTAACTTGTGTAACAAGTCAAGGCAGTTAGTATTATAATCTTCACTCACAGGTAAGGAACGTCAGGCACACAGAGGGAGGTAGCTAGGGGCTAACAAAATAAAAAGGATGGAGACTGTGTCTAATAGCCATTAATGCAGGTCAGCTCATGTTTAGCTCTGGGATATTGTAGATATATGGAAAGCAAATCTGCAGATTCTCATTCTTCCAATTTTCTAACGGAAGCTGAAAATTCCAACATGTTGGCTAGTTTTTAAAAATGTAACACTGTACATGCAGGCACGCGCACGCACACACACACACACACACACCCATCTGTACTAGCATTAATATCACAGATATGCCTAAGAATTATGAGAATGATAGTATTTCCCACACAAAACTCTTATCTAATTAAGATTACAGGGGGACCAACAGTTCTCAAAACTTTGAGAGATAATACACAACCAGGAACCCTATCTGTGCCTCTTTCTCCTTCTTTCACTGCAGAAAACACCCAAATCACCACCCCTTGCCCCACCAAAAACAAAACTGCACAAGAAATGTCCTTTCACTCATTCTAACTTATAGGCTGTCCATGCCATGTGTGCTATAGCAGAGGAGCTTTTCTGCAAGGACTAAGGAATGAAGCAAATGTTAGATGTCATCTTCAGCAAGGTTTCTGGAGTCTCTCTTGCACCTCCAAGATGGCTTAATGGTATTTGTCAATTTAGGATACAGATGAGAAAGACAGGCTTGCCCATTCTGATTTACCCTTTAAAGTGCAAAATCAAAAGTAGCTGAGTTTCTCACAGGGAGTCTCTCACTATAATTCCCTATTTCGCCAAGAACTGGCTGGGAATTTTACCAAGGCTAGTTTGTATATCCATACACTGTATCACAGAGCAGTCTACACAGCCTCTTTTGTACATGACCCATACTTTTTGATACCCACTGTGTGAAATCAAACATTTGCAAGAAAGAAATTCCCTTTAAAAATTAAATTTACCTATAAAGTAATTCTTATCAACTCCCAATAAACTGCCTGAGAAAGCACAACAGAGTATGAAAGGGATATATTTGGAAAATGGCCTCCTGTGAACTACATTAGATTCCCATAGACAGGATGCTTTTGACTCAGAGAGATTACAAAACAAAATTTTTAACTGCCAGTATTTTATAAGCAAATTATTCAAATAGCTATACCTATTCACTTGCCTGACCCTGACTGGTATTTGGATTTGTGATTCCTCTGAGGGTGAGAAACTTCTTATTATAAATTGAACTGAAAGCAGAAAAAATTATTTTAGGGTTTGAAACAATACTGATGACACACTGATTCATTGGTTTCATACAGAAGAGTCATATCCAAGCTCTGACCATTTTACTGATAGAAACGTCTAACTAGATGACTGAAACTCTGATCTCCCCCTCCTACAGATGAGTCAATTGAGACTCCTAGAGGTTAAGTCACTTACCCAAGGCAACACAGCAAGGAACTAGAAAGGGAGTGGCTGGACATCACACTAAATAAGCCCATGTACTAAACTACTAGACCATGCTGGAAGTCCTGAGTTCCATAATAGATGTTGCACAGATGGAAGGAGAGCAGAGAAAAACAAACAAACTGCTGCACTTTTAGAATGAGGAAAAGATGTTAACTATCCAACAGGAATATCATCACAGAACAGAGCAAGGAAAATAAGACAGGTAGAAAACAATGGCTTATGGCCAGCGCCACGGCTCAATAGGCTAATCCTCCACCTACGGCGCCAGTACACCGGGTTCTAGTCCTGGTTGGGGCACCGGATTCTGTCCCGGTTGCTCCTCTTCCAGTCCAGCTCTCTGCTGTGGCCCGGGAGGGCAGTGGAGGACGGCCCAGGTCCTTGGGCCCTGCACCTGCATGGGAGACCAGGAGGAAGCACCTAGCTCCTGGCTTGGGATTGGCGCAGTGTGCCGGCCACAGTACGCCGGCCGTAGTGGCCATTTAGGGGGTGAACCAACAGAAAAAGAAGACCTTTCTCTCTCTCTCATGGAGAACTTTCCATTTAGCTTTTGGCTCTGCCCACATATCACATCAAAACTGGCATATAAAGCACAATCCAGGTCAGTAAATAACAGACCAATTATCAACCTACTCCCAGAGCAGCTTCTCTTAATTCCTAAATTACTGCAGTCTGATCTGACTTATTTGGCTCCTAGGTTATAAGGTGAAGCTAGGTGATAAGTACTTAGGCTCTTAGTTTTGTCTCTTCCTTCATAGACACAATTTCATTCTCAACTGATTTCACTGATTACCTTTGAGGAAGGGGCTCTCTTTGCCTTTGTCAAGTCTCATGATTGGAGATGGTTTCAACCACATCCCTTCCAGGGACTGGCTCAAAAGGTTACAACCTTTATTAGCTCTCACTTAGTCTTTCCTGGTACTAGACACTACACTAAGTGCTTTAAATACAAAGAAGAATCCATGATGGAGGCATTATAATTCCCACTTAAATGAGGAAACCAAGGCACAAATGGATTAAATAATTTTTCAAGAGTCACACAGCTATTAAGTGGAAGAGCTTGAATTCAGACTAAAACCCATGATGTCAACCACTCCATATGCAACTTTGCAACCACGTGATGATAGGGCTCCAAATGAAGAGTTAGAAACTATGGTCCTGAACAGCAGCAGTCTTTAGGGCTCTCAATCCACAGTATTTCATCTACACTTCTAACAACAATGGACAGATAGGCTCGGCTCTCTCTGACACCCAAATTGGAAAGGATCTCCTGTGTTTCTCCTGAGGCCATAATGAAACTCAACTAGTAAGTACTTTTCCACAGGCATTTTAACTCATTAATTCTGAAGACCTCATTTAACAGAAGATCAATTAGAATGTTAAAGTAGGTTTGAGGGGTATAACCCTCCTGCCAATTTTTGCTAAACAAATCATTTAATCTCACTGATAGTGCAGAGTACTCCAACAGAATTCAGAGATTTCCAACATTTCTGCAGGTGTGGATCATCACATGCAGGTAGTGTCCTCGTATGCACCACGTGCAGGTTTTGTTTTACTCCCAGGATAGCAGTTTGTGGGGACATTCATCCAGCACTGGTTTCTGCTGCTTTGTTTATGTTTGTGAGTAATTTGGTTAGCTTAGTTTCTTCACAGCCTCCTTTCAAGTGATATTTGTTTATCAGTCACAAATGCAGTCACATTAATCCATTTTGATAAGCTAAATAAACCCCTGCAGCTTGTCAATGATGCAGCCCAAATGCAAATGAGTTGTATATTCTTGCAGGAGAGACATGCACAATTTCAGTCTAGTCATCCTTGCCTAATGTGGCTGTCAGGTGTGTCATGAGCAACAGATGCTTGTTTGACAAAGGACCTTTTTATTCTGGCTAATTAAGCAGTTGGACACACCCGCCTGTTAACGGTTCTGCTTTGTACAGTCAGCTCTGGCTGAATCATGCGAAATAGGCCACACTTTGAAAGAAGGCTAATTAACCTCTAAGAAAAGGAAAGGAATATTGCAAAAACCCAGCTGCCCAAAGCAACAAGATTAGCATTTCTTCAACCTGATGGGCAAAACCTAGACAAATCAAATGTGTTTGGAACAA